ATGACTCTTGTTAAGACTCACTTAACAACCAGGTTACTAACAATTTAATTGATTCACTTAACAACTATGGCAAGAAAAGTCATAAAATATGGCAAAACTCACTTATCAAATGTTTCACTTAACAATAGAAATTTTGGGCTCAGTTATAGTAGTAAGTCAAGGGCTACCTATATCAGGCATGTCAAACTTGCGATGTCACGTGACGTCGCGCATTGTATCGGGACTTTTCCCCCCATTGCCGGCAATGGGGTGGGCGCGGTTTCACCGTGACACATTAGGCCCGCGGGCCGGCAGTTTGACATGCCTGACCTATACTATTTAAATATTAACATTTCTACCCTACCTTTATTTATACAACTCAGGGCCGCTTGCATAATACTCCTTCCTCCTTTTGCACAACGACGATCCTGCTGGGCTGCTCAGTCTCCCAGGTCCCAATCCTGCCCCTGGCCTACTACTGCACATCCAACTGATAACGTTCAGTTGATGATTCCTGATCCTCTGAAACACCAAGAATTTGGGGATGACTAAGTTTTATATAGAGAAGCCTCAACTCCTGGCGATTTCACCCAGCAGGCGGACCTGAGTTTCCTTGTGGTTTCCTTTCTAAGGCGTTAATCCAGGCTGACCCTGTTTCGGTCAGCCAAAAGCTGCAATCTGCCCCAGGCCCCGTTAAGTAAACCATAACTCAATTCACTGTGGGTAACCAGAGCGTGCCAGCCTAGGCTAGCACTCCCTCCCTAAGGTGCTTTTCCTGTATCTCTTGCTTTGCCACGGCTTCTCCCAGTCTCGCAGGTAGACTGCCCCGAGAGGGGGAAGCTCCATTTTGCAAGCCAAGGCGCTTCCTCGTTTCCCCATCGCCTTGGCGAGGCGGGAAGTCCCCCCGGTGAGCCCGGCGGCTCGGAGGGGCGACGCTGCTGCAGCCCACCCCCCCCTGCAAGGCCAAAGAGGCCGGGGTGCCGGCGGCTCGGACAGCCGGCCTTCCCGCCTTCGCATCTCGGCAGTTGGCAAGCCGGCGGCGGGTCTTACGTGCGCGCCGAGTGTCCCGGCGGCTGCTGCATGGTGCGCCGGGCTCCTTCGAGGCGGGAGCAGGCACCAGCCCGCTCGGTCGTCCCCGCGCCGCGCTTTTGCACGTCCGCAGTTGCTGGCTGACAACGGGGGAGGGGAAGGCTCTTGCAAGGGGGGGAAGAAGGAGGGAGGGACTGAGAGAGAGGGGGGGGGGCTTTCTCTCTCCCTCTCCCCAGTCCTGAAGCTTTCTGACGTTCTAGAGTGTCAGGGTTCGCCCCGACCCTCCTTAAGCGGCCTGCCCGAGACGCAGGAAGCATCCTTGGCTGCGGGGCTCCGGGCTCTCCGGGGGCCCTAGCCCAGGGGGAGGCAACCTTGGCTCTTTTAGGACTCGTGGACTTCAACTCCCAGAATTCCTGAGCCAGCTGTGCTCAGGAATTCTGGGAGTTGAAGTCCACGAGTCCTAAAAGAGCCAAGGTTGCCTCCCCGTGCCCTAGCCGGAGTCAGGCCAACGTGTCCCGAGAAGACGGCGGCCAAATCAGGCTCGAACGCGGGTTGGTGCAGGGAGACCGCAACCTAGTGAACCCCAGGCGGGATTCTGTTCTCCCGGGTAGGGGGGAGGAGGGTTTAGCACGGGCCACCCTGGGCTCTAAGCCACGATGAAACCTTGGCTTCATCTTGGCTTAGCCGGGCCCAGCCTCCTGTCCGCCCAGCTCCCCCCGCCGGAAAGGCCCGGGCAGCCCCTCAGGACGTCCGTAGAGGCTGCCTTCGAAGCGGGGGGCAAACGGATCGTGGGAACGCGGGGGGGAAGTGCCACCGCAGCAAGCGCCTGCCCAAAGCTCCCCTCCCCCCCACTTCCCACTGCCTTCCTCGGCGGTCCCGGGCAGAAGTGCGCATGCCTGGCGCGCCGCCCGGCTGATCGATCCGTGGTGGAGAACAAGCACCCGCCGAGGGTTCATCTGAGGTAAGGCGGGGGGCGGGCCCACCGCGCTCCCGCGGCCGGATGAGCACCGCCCTGCCTGCGTGTGTCCTTTGCGGGCGGGTGGGGGCAGGAAGAGCGCCGTCCGCAGTGCGCAAGGCTCCAGCGCCGTGGCCGATGCGCGCCCCCGCGGGCTGGGCATGGGAGCGGCGCCCCCCTGCTCCCCATCCTCCTGTGAACCGCCGCCCCGAGCGTCCAGCTTGCCGGGTCTGCAGCGCCCCCCCCCCCGCCGCCCGTAAGACAGGCTGCGCACCTGCCCTGTGCAGGCTGATCCGCGAGGAAGCGCGCCCCGATTCGCCCCGGGGTTGGGGGAGGTCAATGTGTTGTGTGAATCCAGCCAGCTACGGGTTTTCGGTCCCCCGTGTTTTAGTATGGAACTCCCCCCGCCCTTTCTGTCTTGCTGGATGGGACCGAGGGGCTCTAGATCTCTTTAGCTGAGTGCAGGCTGCGTTTGCAACCCTCTCTTCAACCCTCAGCCCTCATTTCCCAAACCACAATAGCTCCAAGAGAGGCCAGCCGATCTGCATCTTAATCTTCTTGTGGTCCTACAGACCAGGATGTGTGACCGTAATTAGTTTTACCCTGTTATGTGATCTCCGCTGTTGTGGTTTGTTAAATATCGTTGGGGGGGGATGAGCATGCCAACGGCCGCAGGAATCTCGTTCCCATGTTTTTACTAAATCATAGTTTGTTCACCTACCCTCGAATCCAGGATCTTTAGTCCTGGCTGCTGGCTGTCTAATGCAGACTTGGGTTTACGCAATCTGTTTACAGCTGTTTAATTTAACCATGTGTTTATTCCATTAGGCTAATTGCCTGGGTTCGCACAGCAACACTCAAGAATCTGTATTCTCACAACCCTCTGAATCAGAAGCTTTCCAGGCTGAAGAGCCTCAACTGCTGTAGTTTTTCCTCTAGTGTTCTAATCTTTTTATTCTCCTTTTGCAATTTTTCTACTTCTAAAATACTCTTTTGAAGGTGTGGTGGCCAGAATTGAACCCAGTGCTCCCAAGTTGTGTTCTCCTGATAGCTTTGTTTTTAATTTCCTTCTTAATGCAATTTGCCTTTTGCCAACTTGGTAGGTGGACATTTTCCTAAGAACGATGAGCCAGGGGCTGTCCCAAATGGGGATCGAGTTGATTATATACAATCAGATGATGCAGACAGGAGAAAATGAAAAAAAAAATATTGCCCAGAAAAGAATCCTTTTATTCCACCAGTTCTCGTAAATTTCCCCATTTCCTTTTGAAATAAAATTGCTAACTCTGGTTTGTCGTCTGGTCTCTTTGGGCTGATATCATCATCAGAAAGTGGAATAATTGGACAATGAATGCAAATCAGCAAATTTTAGCGGAAGAGGAAGCAGGGCTGTAGAATAGAAAGGGGCAGAGATTGAAAAAAAAACTGGCTTAAATCAATGGAACAATGTGCTACTCAAGCTACACTTTTTGGAGTGACAAAGGATTCAGTTGATTTATTTTCTCTTATAGAATACACCCCAAACTCCCACCAGTAGTTTGCCAGCTAGGTGTTTTAGCAGGTATCTGGTAAACCAACAGGTATCAAGTGCTGTAACCTGAGCTGAATAAGCTGCAACCCTAGTACATGGAAACCTTTTGCAGAGTATTTCTTTGGGCCCAATATTCCACGTACAACATTTGATCAGCAAGGGTTGGGGCAGTGCTTTACTGCATAGAGAAACAAAACTTGGTTGTTACCATCCCATCATAAGGCTGATGTATCTGTAGGGATAATCCCATGATAGGCAAGCAGACTTAAGTTGGTTGTTTCCAGCATTTTTGCACACACCATTCTGTGCACTTTCTTCTCCAGTGTTATCTTTTATATTGTTAGATTTGTATCACACATTTCTTCTGTGAGCTCAAGGCAGCTTACCCCGGAGTGCATGCGCTTTGAGAGAGAGAGAGAGATTGGCAATTACAAAATTTTGTACAGTAATGGAAATGACAAAAACAACAATTTGGGAGATAGCTCTCCCTAGTACCGGTATGTGCAGTTCCATGATAACACCAGGCTAACTTAGCTAATTTTGGAAAAGTTAAATAGGCTCAAAGCATCAAAAGTTCAAAAGGCTGGAAGTCACAAGAAGCTATTTGGAAGAAGACAGTGGCAAACTATCTCTGTACTGAACAAGAGCAGAGTTAAGTCTTGAGGATGACTACTTTTTAAAGCAAGGCATGATGTGCTTTGGCAGACCAATTATTTCTTTTAAAAAGAAATTGCTTTCAAATTCCAGGCCAACAATCCTTGGGTGGACTGGAAACCAGCTTCTTTCTCAGCCTCCGTTTCCTCTGTGATAAAAATTATGACTTAGTACTTATTCCTAAGACTGGAGTCTGCTTTATTGCAGAGTTTCTCAACCTCGGCAGCCTGAAGATCTGTGGACTTCAGCACCCAGAATTCCCCAGCTGGCTGTGGAAGGTAGGTCTGGCTTATGGCGAAGCATCTTGTGCAACTAGAACTTGGCTTGAGTCAATAAACCATCACTTAGCACACGCAAAGCCCATCTGTTGTGCAACTATTACTCACTGGTCACAAATGAATAAAACAGTGTTGCTGGCCTTTATTCCATTCAATCAGCATGGAATAAATCCAGACTATTTACAGAAAAAGGCAGCACCAACCAATCCAGAAACAGCACCAACCAATCCAGCTTCTCTGTTCCTCCAATGAAATTTTAATAGAACTCACCCCCACCCCATAAAAGTTGTAATTCAGGACTTGCTGGCAGTAATTTCACACGCTGGGCTTCTTTTCGTCACCTTGCACAACCTTTGTGACAGCCTCCTGCATTTGGTTATCTTGCCCCCTTGGATTTTTTTTTTTTCAAACCTGCTCCAACAGGTAATGTTTCACCTTGCGGTAATTCCACTTGCAAAAGTCCCAACACAGCTTCACACACACAATTCCCCTGTATGTTGGTTATACACAGTCCCTCCAATCTGAAATCTAATCACACAGCATTAAAAAAAAACCACACAAGCAGACTCTCTAGGATGGTTCATTCACTTTTCCGCATACTTTTATTTGTTACAAACATACAATTTTTAAATATAGACTGTAAAACTCCATTTGCAAAAACCTGCTATTTTAAGGAGTGCTCAACTAGCATGAGGAATTATTCAGGTCATGTGGACTTTCTCTTTTTCTTCTTCTTTGCTAGTTAGCTAGTGGTAAATCCAGGACCTGCCTATTTGACAACAGCCTCTTTAAAAAGCAGTCCTGCTAGCCCCCCCACCCCACCCCCAGGAAATCAGAATCTAAGCTTCAGCCAATGGGCAGCAAGATAACAGGCAGCTCTTGACCCTGCGGATTTTAACTCATTTCCAGCGCTCTGCTTGGCAGGTGAGAAAGCAATAGATCTTTTCAATGGGTGCTGCACTTTTATACAACATTTCCAAGTCTGAAACTGCACCATGCAGCTATGTCTGCGTATGTAGGTTGCCATTTAAAGTGCATTTAAATTTTAATAAAAAAATAAACGAGGAATAAACTTTATTTTTTTTTATTAAGGTACTTAAAAGTGAACTTTTTGGTCTCTCAGCAGATATTCCTGAAATCAGTCCTATATTACTACAAATTTCTAGAATTTATGTATTTATAGAGCTATTTTTGCATCTAGCAGAGAAACAATTGTATAATTACATATACATGTACGTACATACATGTGTACACATGTACATACATGTGTATGTGTACACAGACATCTGTTTCTATGTATACAATGTACAAAGGTGTATATTTACAAATGGGTTGGCTGATTACATCTTTATATGATCAATTATCACTTGCATGAGTTTTTCTTAATGCCATATCAAACTAAATTATTTGCTTACTTTCTGATATTATACATTCAGCCCAGCCAATTTTCATTCCCGGCTGTTCTGATTCCCCATAACTTTGCCATTTTTTGTTTCATCATCCCGACTTTAGTTTCGAGAAACCCACTGGCAGGACACTTAGCGAGAGTTTCAGTTATTACAAGGAACCGAACTTTGGATGAGTTGATTATTAGCCCCTTCCTTGGAAAAAGATCCGTATCTTTCCAATACAGAACGTGTGCTTGAAAATTCTACCCGTTGTGCAAACGTTTGTTCAACTGAGTTGCAAAAAAGAGCAGGATTTCCAAAATCAGAACTAAAGCGCTTGTTCCAGTGGTTCTTGAGAGAACATGGAAGACTGCCAGCCGTTCAAGGCCTGGCAATGTAACGTCAGCAAGAATAAACTTCTCACCACCAGAACAGCCGCTGCTCAAAGCTCACTTGATTTTGATATGTTTCAACCAGGGTGGGCTTCTCCTGGCTTGTGCATCAGCTGGAGAACCAATGGCACTGCAAAGCTTTCTCACGGAGGGCGGATGGGTTCTTAGCTTTGTCTAGCACATTTGTTAAACTCTGATCCACAGATGATCAGTCAGAAAACCCTCCTTTTGCTGAAGTGTTAGGACTCATCTTTCCGCTAACCTTTCTGGAAAGGAGGAGGGGTGAGCCTCTACTTTCAGCAACAACACACTGTGCCAGATACCAGAAGTGGGTTATCCAGCTATACTTGCAAGATCAACGTGCCAAAGGAAAAAAGTTCACCGCAGCTTCATTAATAGGTGAATAAGTCTACCAAAGTTCTGCCTTCTCTTATAAAAAGTGGCCGGGTTCAACTATTCAGAGATTCTGCACAAGCCACATCACCCAGGAACCCACCTGGCACAGCATTTTAAATTGAAACGTAATGGTCCAATACTTCCAATTTTCACGAGGGGAAAACAAGAATTTTAAGCTGCATTCTGCTTGTAAATCCCACTTAAATTCAAATGTAGGGATTTTCTAACTAGAAGGCCTTTCAACACACACAAAAAAAAACCAGGGCAAGAAATTAAATATTTGGCCTTCGACATTTGCCTAGGTTAAAATGATGAGCAGTGACTGCTGTTTTAAATTATTTTCTTTCTGCAAGTTTTAAATACAATCTATCTTGGCTACACAAAGCAGGAACCAGCTACAACAAACCACAAACTTCTGCTTCTTAGCTGTGGGCCACTTACTTTGTATTTAAGTGTATATGTACATATATATACACACACAATACATTACAATATTAAGGCTACATAGCAGCATTTTACAAATGGCTTTGACAAAGCACACTAAATCTTCCTTATGCCGAATTTCAGAGATAAAAATGTTGTTGGCATTTGTTAGTAGAGCACTATCTTCTTGTCAAATTTTAAAATGGAGGGATAGAAGGAAAGAGAGTAGCAAAAGAAACACTTTCATCCTATGTAAATCCATGAATATTCCTTATTTAAGTAAACATGTTGGCAGACTAATGCTTCTCATTAGAAAACCTCCAATAAAAAGTGTGAAAGATAAGCAAGGGTGGAACTGCCATTGGGAGAAATCCCATTGGTCGGAATCCTACTCCTACAGAGCCTGTCATTTTATTCACATTTCCAAAATTAGACACAAATTAATAAATGTAGCTAGGTTTAAATTCCACAATCACAGAATTTTATGTTGAAAATCAGGGGGCAGAAATCTTTCACTGCATTCAGTGGAATTATAGGCGTGGAGCATAATTTTAGGCCCTTCCTCTTGACAAACTAGAATTCCTCTGTGCTACGAACTTATTTTGAAAACCCTCCCTTGAGAAGGGGCTTGTCTGAAAAATCCAGTCTAGCTCAAACTAATAAAAAGTAGCTGCTCCATTGTGTATCGCCATTTGGTTACTGTTCTCTTTTTTTACAACTCTGTGGTAGTTGTTTTAATGTCTAGACCATAATAGGGAATTTCACAATGGAAAAACCAAATCTACTATACATTACAACAGAAAAGCAATGTAAGTATATTTAAGGTGAAATTAAGTCTAGCACCATTGCAGATAACTGTGATATTACAGATACAAGAGGTAGTAATCCATCCATGGTTACATCCTGATGTTTGAATGTTTGCTTCAGCTATTAAAATTTCTTTTAATCCTGCAGGAGACAGCTATTAGATTTGGCTACGTTCCACTCCTCAATGTCACATTATCTGCAAAACAAAACAAAACAAAATCTTGGTGTGTGTGTGTGTGTGTGTGTGTGTGTGTAATCACTAATGGCTATAAAAGCTACAAAGTGCAAAAGCTGAAGTTTCTTGGAACCTGCAAAAGGGGGGGGGGGGGAAATACGAATTATTTCACTTCAACCAGACTTTTCTGTCATCTGTAGTCATAATCTATTAAATCTTTCCATCTATGCAAATTGAAGAAAAATTTCCTCAATCAAAATGATTCAGTGAATGCTCAAGCACAACATTTAACTATTGCAATTTTGATGACACTAAAAACGATCATAATCAGCAATACTGACAAGAGGCAAGACTTCTAAAAACCTCTCACACATCTGGAATCAGACTACCACAGATTATATTTCAGATCAAGCGACCATGAAGATTATGTATTTACACCACAGATTGTTCATTAGAGTGAACAAAGAATCAAGAAATATACCTACGTATCACTGCTTGGTATTTGTACTCATTTGGAAACGTCCATCTGCAGAATATCACTGCACAGTAAACCTGATTGCTCTGTCTTCTTTCTGCAATTTTTAATTTGAGAAGGGTACTAGATATCTGGAAGCATTCATATCAAACTATCCCCAGATAGACTACAAAAATTACAAGCATCTGACACAAACCCATTAAGTAATGTAGCTGCTGTGCCTGCAGGATTGTGCTCGGTGAAACTAAAATGATCTACACTGCATTTCTTCAGAAATAACTGTGATTACTGCTATTAAAAAGAGCATAATGGTCCTTTAGGTTTTAGATATTTAGTCTCAGGCATTCTTGTTCCTTTATAAAACTAAATTCATAGCAAACATATTTCAATACATTGACCAGTTCACTTGCTTATAAAAGGAAGCATATCAATATCATGTCTACGAAGAACTTGCAGAATCAGTTTTGAAGCCAAAAAAAGTGCCACTTACATATAGGGAAAGCAAGTTTCCCTTTCCTCCTTTGAAGAATCAAGGCCACATTTTTTTAAAAAACAAAAACAAAAAAGTGAATATCTGCTGAGAGATTAAATTGTGCATCAGATCAAGTACCACCATCTTTCTATTAAAACTTTGAGATGTCCAAGCATGTTTATGCAACGAACAATTTTCTACCAAAATCATAAAATTGCCACCCTCACACGAGAAAAGTAGCCTGAGTTAGTCACTTTTGAGATGTCTTGTAGAGTCAAATATATTACACTTTTTTTTTAAACGACGGGAGTAAATCAAAAACCATCTTCAGCTATTCCAATACCTGAAGTGTGCAGTCAACAAAGGGACCACTCAATATGAGGGGCTTATTGGAACCTGCCTCTTGCGCCCATTATCCTGAAAAAGTACAAGCAAGGACAGGATCGTTAAGTCGTTATTTTAGAGACACTAAAGCAGAAGCTAAAATCTTACTAAAAAAAATAATCTGTGATTTGTGCAAAGAGGATTTCAGGGTAAGCAACGGGAATTGCTTTCTCTTTGAGGACTCAGCCTCCTCTGTTAGGCCTGCAATCACTCTGAAGCAGATAGCTATGGAAATAGGAACACGGCCCATAACTAGATGTGAGCTAAAGCTACGGGCGTTTATACCTGTATGTCTCGCATATTTACAATTTTTGGTGCTATACAAGATTTACATTTTGTTTGTACAGCAGATGCACCATTCTAAGGGGAATACCTAGAAATGCCAGATACAGAGGTGACCCATTTCCCCCCCCCCACAAAATCTACAGGTAAAGATGACAATGCAATCCACAAGCCACCTAAAACAACACGCCTAACCTTTCACAGCTCACCTCCCAACTTCACTGGGATCAAGCTGTTTAATCGTAGGCTTGCAGGATATGGAAGCTTGCAAAAATGCACCGACACACGGTCAACAAACATCGCTGCAGAAAGAGATCGATATGAGTTAACTGCAGCAACAAGAATAGAGAAGCTTTTCATTACTCAAATGGACATTTAAGCACAGGAGTATAGCAGGAATACTAAAGTTCACTCGTGTTGGATTGGATCCAGGGTAATGGGTTTTCCTAATGTGGTTGAGTTTGGCCTCGCGTGAACAGTAGCTTATCCAGACACAAAGGTGCCCGTTTGCAATCTGCAGAAACCGGTCACGGAGGGTTTGTGCAAAATTGTGGTAGCAACCGGGAAGGCAGAGATTTCTAATGCTTTGCCATAAGCAATGGAGACCCCCTCTCCTCAGCAGAGGCCAATTCATGCTTCCAAATTAATCAGAAATGTATCTGCAGCCTCCGCTGTTGTTTAAGCCCAGAAATTTTAAGTTCTACATGGGGAAAGGTAATATATATATAGATAGATAGACAGATAGATTTCAGGCAAGTTTCCCTGTTCTCCAATAAGCATAAGGAATGGTTTCCTCACTGAAATACGTTACATCTAAGCGAGGCTTGTGGCACCAGAATTCAATTCTCTCTAGAAAGAATCTTGGGCATTGACCCGATGTAGCATGATAGCCTCAATATTTGTGAATAGTTAAACGCCTATAGCTTATATGTGAGCACAAGCAGACCCAACACCTTAGTATCCTACTGACATCTTGCACTGTCACCCTAACTGCACACCTTGAAGGAGGGTCATGTATCACTTGGTGTACTCAATATCAGTTTAGCTGGTCTACAATGACTACAGGAGCCTCTTCCTGTTGCCAAAGGCAACACCATATATGGCAATGCTCCTTGCTAAACAACTGATATGCTTCTGTCGGCTTCCACATACTTTGGGGCAGCTAATTATAGCTTATATAGCCCCTGGCCAGGGACAGTCAACATCCTGTCACTACCATGTAATACAAAGGTAAGGCTAGTTACTACAACAATTCAGCCCCCCCCCCCAAACCCCCAAAGGTTCTCCTGAAAAGGAGAGGTACTGCATCTTTGCAAGAACTGGCTCATGGCAGCTGAGCAACAAAACAAAACAAAATAAAAAGAGGGGAGGGAATCGAGATTACCACTAACGCAACAAAAATGTTGGTCTATACAAGTATTATACACTGTTTTAAATTGAGTGAAGAATTACAGCAATAGATATTAAGCATCTGCAGCCTCCATTTTCACTGCTGCCTTTTAAGCCTCATTAGTTAAGCAGAGTTTTCTGCAGTTCCTACCCAGGCTACGATCCTTGTACGCTGAATTTTTTTTGTGGGTGAATATTGTTCTCCGCAGCAAAGAACTAAATACAATAGAACAAAAAATATACATAGGTAAATACAGCAGGACATTATTGAAAACAGCTGCCTCGGAGAGTACAAAATACAGTACAAGTATATGGATGTAATTAAAACATCAAGAAATACTATTGCTCCCATTACAATTCAGGAAACAAGTTCTTTGCAACGGAGAAAAATGGAAAGAAGGGTTCCCCCCCCCCAAGTATATAAGATCTACCATGAACACATGGAATAAAGAAACAGCTTTTAAAATAAACAATTGTTGTTTGTGATAAACTAATTTGACATTTGCTGAGTTTTATAACTGTAGCAAAACCCAATTCTTTTTAGAAAAAATTCCAGTGAGGAAATGCCTTTTATATGCCTCTTTGCTTTCTAATAAATACAAAACAAAGACAGTATAGAGAAGAGCAATGCCAAAATAAGGTAAATATGGGTATGCAATAAATTAAAAAGGCAGCTCAAATAAAGGACAGGCATGCACAATTTAAAAAGATTGTAGAGGAAGTTTTACCTGCCTCTAAGATGTCACACAGACAATACCCGAAACTTTGAATGAACAGTATCAATTTCCATTCAATTCAAAGTTGCTAGTATATAATGTAGCTAAAACACTTTTTAGAGGGAATAGGACTGACTTCATTTGTTTAAAAAAATATCATTTTAGGTAAGAATCCATTTAAAATATAGATGAGGCAATTCTTTGGATGGGGAGGCCCAACTCCACTTGGGAAAGACAACTGGACGAATAGGCAGTAGCCAGTCTATAGTAAAATTTGAAGGTGGTAAAATGCTGCTAGGGTGTGTTCATAGTCACAGGACTTGGCTGGATTCTGCTCCTTTTTCGCGATGATTATGCACCTCCCATAGGGCAGAGATTGCTCTGAACAATCCATTGCTGTTAACATAATGTGAGGTACTGAGGAAATGGATTGTGTTCTCTTCTTGCTTTTTTAAAAAAAACCTTGTTAAAACAACAACAGATGCTGGACTTCTGGACCTGAGGTTCTTGGTGTCTATTTTCATAGAACATGTCCACTTATTTGCACGGTGAAAGTAGCTTTCAGTTTCCCTCTCTTCTTCTTCTTTTTTTTTTTAAGAGTTGAAGCCTCACATTCTTTTTTCTTTTTAACAAATTACAATTTAAATGCTTTTGCAAGCTACTGAACAGATTCCACCTTACTGGAGTAGATCCTCTTTTTAAAAGCCCAGAGAAAGGCAGCTCCAATTTTTACTTCCTACTAAAGCCTAAAGCCATTTTGCTCTTTCGCCTTATTTGGAGAGAAGGGGAAGAACTTTAGTGACCAGCAACTAGTCCACTCTGCATTCCTTGTGCTTTATGCCTTTTTTTTCTCTTTTGAACCTGCCTGTTTGCAAACCCCCACCCCACCCCTAAGGAGAGAAAAAAAAAACTCATTATGACCTTTAGAACCTTGTCAACTTTAGAATAATTTCGGTTATCTATTCCAGTTCAGGCACCTGTAGCTTACGGGTAAAAATTCAGGAGAATAACATTGGACGTTGGTCCAGATATAGGCTCCATCCTCTCTCCAAGCAACTTTCTGAACATTCTCAGGGTTGCTTCCCTCATCTTTCCTGTCTCCCCTTTCCCTCCCTCCTGGACCATTTCAACTTCCCCATCTATCTGCCTTGGGCTTCAACCTTCCCGTTCACGATCCTTGATTTTTTTACACTTCCCGGTTAGGCTGCTGGATTTGGATCTGCTGGATTTGGATCGCTTGTGGCAGCTTCTCTTCTTCCTTCCAATTGTGCTCAGTGGCCATGCAGTCTCCAGAATGCTGGTGTTGAGAGCAGAGGAGGAAGAACGCGGTCTCAAAATGCAGGAGAGGGGAGAGGGCACCGAGAGAAAGGGAGAGATGAGGTCGGATGAAATTCTCTCTCCCCGTTCCCCCCCTCCATAAATTAAAAAAAAAGTGGGGGGGGAAACACCACACGTTTCAGCAGTCAGGGCAGATGAGAAGCCTCGGGAAGCTCAAGCAGATCAAGGTGGAGAGGATCCCCTCTTCTCCACTCTGGGCCAGGACGGAGGTTAACCGAGGTCGCCGGGATTCCTCTCTACAAGGCAGGGCGATGAGAATGGCAAGCCGGGGGAGCTTAAAGCTGAGCCAAGTCACGGACAGATGCTGTATCCTGGTGGGGCAACGACAGGGTGGGAAAACGAGAGGAAATTCGGGAGGGGAGGCTGCTCCAGAAGCGGTGGGTGGAGGCAAGACAGGCAGGGCGGCTCCACGCTTTGCTCTCTCCCTCTCCTCGAGGAGAAGGAAACGTAGGATCAGGTTTCGCCCCATTTCCATCCGCTCCCCGAGGGTCTTCCCCCTCCCCGGTCCATAGCAACCCCCTCCCCAGTGGAGCGGCGGCGGCGGCTGGGGAGGGAAGGGGGTGTCATCTGGGGAGGAGGAAGCGGAGAGGCTCAGTCGTCGTCCACATCGTCCCCGTCGGAGTCGTCCCCTGCGCCGCTGCCGCTGCCCGGCCCGGCCGGTCCGGCGCGCCGGTCGTAGAGCTTGTCCCGCTGGCGCTCCTGAATGTCGCGCATCTCGTCGGCGTAGCGGCAGAAGGCGCCGCCGAACTTGGCCCAGGCTTTGTAGGGCACGGTGATGGCGTTCCGGTAGGAAGGCTTCACCTCGCTGACGCGCAGGAAGACGCCGTACTTGTTGCAGCCCACGTCGAAGAAGAAGCGCTTGGAGTCCACCGTGATGGAGGTGCCCTCGGGCAGCTCGCCGTACAGGCCGCCGCCGCCGCCGGGGCCCCCGCCGGGCCCGCCGCCGCCGCCCAGCTCGTCCTCGTCGGCGCCGTAGTCGTCGATCAGCTTGGCCAGCGCGTCGCGGAACTCGATCAGGCCCTGGGCCGGCAGCGCGATGGTCTGGCCGCTCTGCAGGCCGGGCGGGCCGCCGGGGAAGCCCGCGCCGCCGCCGCCGCCCGGGCCGCGGTTGATGGTCTGGCGGATGCGGAGGAAGCGGCCGCGCTGGTTCTCCTTGAGGTCCAGGTAGTACTTGCGGTTCTCCCGCACCAGGAACTCGCTCTTGAGCGCCCGGCGCGGCCCGCCGCCGCCGCCCTCCTCGCCGCCCGGGGAAGCCTGCGCCAGCTGCTCGGGGCTGCTCGGGCCCAGCTGCGCGTAGTGCTCGATGAAGTCGCCCAAGTAGTCGCGGAACTCGGCGGCCACGGCCATGGAGAGCGTCAGGCGGCTCTTGGAGCCCCCCGCGCCCACCTCGGCGATCTTCAGGAAGCGCCCCTTGGCGTTCTGCTTCACGTCCAGGTAGAAGCGCTTGTTCTGGATGTCCAGCCGCTTCGAGGCCAGCTCCTGCGTCTCCTGCTCCGGGCCCGGCCCGGCCCCGCCGCCGCCGCCGCCGCCACCGCCGCCGCGGTGGCCCTGGAAGCCGCCGCCGCCACTACCGCCGCCGCCTCCCCCGCTGCCGCTGCCGCTGCCGCCTCGCTCGCTCCCGCTGTCCCCGTCCGCCATCTTCTCCGCCCGAGTCCTTCTGCCTGTGCCGCCGCCGCCGTCAGGCCCAGCCCGGTCTGCCTTCCGCCCGCCCGTCAGTCAGTCCGCCCGCTCCGGCTCTCTCTCCCTCTCGCTCTCCCTCAGCCGCTCGCTCGCTCGCTCAGGCGCACGCGTCCACGCGCTCGCACGAAGGCACGCACGCGCACGCGCGCTCGAGGGAGGGGGGAGGGGAAAGCGCGCGCGCCGCCCTCTACTCGCGTCGCGCTCTGCCCCGCCGCCGCCTCAGCTGCCTCAGCCGCCTCAGCCGCGTCCACCCAGATTTCCGGCAGTCACCTGGCTGCTGCGCGCGCGGGCGCGCGCGAGATCCGCGCCGGAAGCTCGCCCCACCGAAGTAAGCTCCGCCCGCTCTCCTTCCCCTGTTTGGGAGGGAGGGGAGAGCGCGAGCCCGGCCGCCCTCCGGAGCGGTGACGTCTTCCGCCCGCTCCTTCTTTCCGCTTCGCTGCGACGAGGGCGAGGCCGCGCTGCCGCCTCCCCGCCCGTTTCTCTCACCCTCACGCGCGCTCGCGCGCCCTGGCTCGCCCTCGGATGCGCGCGCAGCCGCCGCCCCCCCCTCTCTCTTCCCACCCCGCGGGGAAACTGAGGAGCGGTCGTGCGTCGCTTCCCTTCCCTAGCTCTGGACGACATCTCCCATGGTTCCCAACCAGCTGGGGCCGAGGGGAGCCGTCGTCCAGCCTTCCGAAGGGAGAGGCAGCGGGGGAGCGACTCCCTGCAAACTCGAAGGCTTGCACGGGCTTCCTGCCCTGGGAGTGAGACACGTGTGCACGCCCTCCCGACGTGATACAGAGGCGGCTTCCTCCGGGCTGCTGAGATGGGGAAGCGGTGCCGCCCGTGCTCGTTCCCAGCTGAGGAAGGGGGCGCTGGAGCGCGCCGCTCGGAAGCCGAGGAGCTGCGTGAGGAACGGCCGGCGAGTGGTGCGAGCTTCGTGCTGCAAACGGGGCGGCGTGCAGATCCTCGCCCTGACTTTCCAGCCGAGGCGGAACGTGGCTCCTGCTCCGAGGCACGAAGTGTGCAGCCTCCTCGGGGCCTTGGAGCGCCCGCTTCCCTCCCCCGCCCGCGCCTCCCGAGGAGCCGAGTTCAAATCCTGCCTCCCCCTTTGAAAGGCATCGCTTCCCAGGTGCCAGTAAAGCCGCTGCTGGGTGCGCCTTTTCCTGCTCCACATGCCGCCCTGGGCCTCTGGTTTACCAAAGGGCAAGAACCGAAACAGCGGTGGGCGATGTTCCGGCCCTGCAAAGCTGCTAGAGAATTGGGGCTTAGTGGCAGAAATTACATTTGCTTTCTGATTTCACATTCCAGGGAGAGCTAAAAATTTGCTCTTTGGCCGATAACAGAAGTAGAACCGCGGTGGCTCTTCCGGTTTTAAGTTTCTAGTGCTGATTGAGCAGAGGTGATGTCACAGAGCACCCACAGCCATTTTAACTGACCAGAAAAGGAGAGAAAGAACAGGAATTACTTGCAGGTTGCAGAACGGAAGCAAAGTCTGTGAGTGGAATTGATAGCTCAGGTTACTTTTCATTAGATTAGACATCCCAATTCCTGTAACCATTCTTCGTGTGTTTTAGCCTCCAGCCCTCTTAATCATTTTTGTAGCTCTTCTCTGCATTCTTTCCAGAGTCTCAATATCTTTTTTTATATTGTGACCAGAACTGGATACAGTATTCCAAGTGTGGTCTTACTAAGGCTTTCTAAAGCGGTACTAGAACTTCACGTGATCTTGATTCTATCCCTCTAGTAATGCAATCATCATATTACAAGATGAGCATTGGACTGAGCTGCTTCTAATACGTTGAGAACATCTAGCCATTTGCTGTTTTAACTTCAAGAAAGCATTTGATATCCTTGACTATCACCTCAGGTTCAGTAATGAGATGGATGAAGGTGACGAAGCTCAGATGTGCTGTTGACCGGTAGGAAACCTGACCCAAGAATTGAGATTCCTGGTCTGCCAGTGCCTGCTTATCCTCAGCTGTCTCTGGGGGACAGCTGTGGCTAGGAATACATTTGCACAAATACCTCTGGTGCACCAGCTGCAATCATTCCCGAGCTCTTTGGATTTGACAATAGCGATCTATGAACTGGTTACATCTCTCTACTGTTAAAGGACCTCCAGAAACTTCATGATACAAACTGCATCATGTAGACTGCCAACTAGCATTCGTCTAACAACAGTTAAAGATGTGTGTCGGTTATTTTGAGGCATGATGTGTGGGTTAAGACCTATCTAGGGAACTAACCCGGACCATAAAGAAGGCTGCATGCCGAAGAATTGATGCTTTAAAATTGTGGTGTTGGAGAAGATTCTTGGACTGTAAGGAGATCAGGCCAATCTAAAGGAAATCAACCCTGGCTGTCCTTTGGAGGGGACAGATCCTGAAACCGAAGCTCAAATACTTTGGCCATTAAAAGAGAAGAGAGGACTCAGGTGGTGTTGGGAAAGACTGAAGGCAAAAGGAGAAGGGGACGGCAAAGAAGGAGATGGTTAGATATTGTCATTGACACAGTGGACATGGATTTGGGAGGTTGTGGAGGACAGGGCAGCCTGACATGCTGTGGTCCATGGGGTCATGAGAGTTGGACACGACTTAGCAATTGAACAACAGGAAAACAATATCCTTGTCTTAGTCATGTCAAGGCATCAAGAACTAGAAGAAGCCTTTAAAAGTTGCCTCTCCTTTCAGAGATTCCTTTCTCAAGCACATCTCTCCTTCCCCCTCCCCATCTCCTGAATTAAACCATGGAATCTGCTATGCATGGAACTGCACTCTCTCCACCTGTGCAAAAGGATTCTTGACATTCCTTTTTAGCCATTTTTTTCCCATCGCTTTTAGGTCCAGCTTTTTTCCCATCGCTTTTAGGTCCATTCCGAGACTTTGGGTCTCGGAATCCTACCAGTGGCTAGCTGGGCAGTTCTGGGAGCTGGTATTACAGTATTTTATCTGGTTTGGTGATGCTGTCTGCTGGTTTCTTGGAATCAGTTCTGTGATCTCTGATCTTTGGGCCAAAGATTAAATGTGTAGCCGCAGCTGCAGACACATGTATTACATGACATGCTTGTCACTGAAATTTTCATAATTTATTATAATGTTTGACATAATTACAGTAAGCCGTGCATTAGGCTAAACCATGAAAACAACCACAGAGAGCCCCCGGGATCTAGGAGGTGGATAAATTGCATGAAGTAGTAAATAACTGTGTTGTTTTGTAGTTTTATCCTGTCATTAGTAATCTTGATTGCCCTAGTTAAAACAGAAAGGTACAGCGTTTCATATCAGGAGGCAGAAATGTGACATCCGTGAAAGAAATAATAACTTGATAAGAAAGACAAAAAAGGATGGATAGTGGACGATGTAGTACTTGGAGACTGCTGAATTAAAAGAACTGGAAAAGATAACAAAATACAAAGTCCGGCAGATAGAAACAGAATGACTGTGGCAAAAGAGTGCCTCTGGAGCACCACCTGCATCAAAAAGTCACCATCAGCCATTTGCAAAAGACAAGTTTGAACAGGTTACATCCAGCAACGCTATCTTTAAAGTTATTAAACAAAAACATCTGCCTTTTCCAGATCCTTGGGAAGGATTTTGGTAGGCCAAGAAAAATGCCAAATCCAGTCTGAAAATTTGCCTGACTGTATAATCAACCATAATATGGTGCTATACTGGAAACAATATGCTAAGTCATAGCATAGTCAACAGGATACTGGATCTGGAGCCTGTAAGGCAGGGTATCTTCAAACTTGGCCCTTTGATGACTTGTGGACTTCAACTCCCAGAATTCCTCAGCCAATCCACAAGTCATCAAAGGGCCAAGTTTGAAGACCCCTGCTGTAAGGAGACTGTTTAAAAAGGATAGCCATTTGATAAACTGATTTAGGCTTCCATACTTGAGTGTCAGATGCAAGCTGTGGGTGTCTGTGGGTGCAAACATATTGACATCTGGGACAGTTGGTCTTCACGTTGCCCCTCAACATTTTTTGCAGGACACCTATCTGCTATGGTTACTGCCCATCCTTCCAGATCAGGCAGAGTTGATACGTTCCGGGTCCCATCAATGAATCAGCGTCAATCAATCGGCCCAAGGAAGGCCCGGCCTTCCCCTGTCATGGCACCTCAATTACGGAACAACCTCCCTCCAGAGATATGCATGGTCTGTAACCAGTTGGCCTTCTGGAAGGCCATGAAGTTCTAGCTCAGTGCTTCTCAACGTTTGTGTGACGGCGAACTCCGTCACACAAACGTTCTGCGCATGGGGGGCGGGGCCCCAATGCATGGCACGCATGCGCGGCGCCCCCATGTGCGACGCGCATGCGCGACGCCCCCCATGCGTGGCGCATGTGCACGGGGCTCCCCCCATGCGTGGCGCGCGTGCACGGCCCGGCCCCGTGTGCGGCGCATGCGTGACGCCGCGAAAAATGACAGATCGCCACCTTTGGCGACCCCCGAAAAATGGTCGTTCGACCCCAAATGGGGTCACGACCCATAGATTGAGAACCGCTGTTCTAGCTTTTCTCCTGGGTATTGGGGCCAGAATGCAAATGGAGTTCTGGCATGGGCATCAATGCACACGAGGTGTCAGTTACGCGATTTCTCAGAAGCTTCAACTTTCTTTCACCAGTTGTGAAGGTGGACATGTTTTTATTTTTGTTCTTCCCCTCCCGGCAAAATTGCTCTGGTGGAAGGGCGGCTACCCATGTTTGTTGAATAAATAAATGAGTAAGAATAAGCTCAAGCTTGTGAAGGCAACAAAAGCAGGGAGGTTTGCATTTGAACACAACCACCAATCATTCACAAAGATTTGCAGAACCAGCACTGAAAATATTTTCCCCTGGTGTACAAAAGCACTTTCTGACAGAACTGCTGGAGTTTATATCCAGCTAGCGAGAGGATTTGTGTCTGTCTGTGTGTGTGTGAATATACCTGTGTGCTGGAAAATGCCCCCAACAGTACATCACAACATTCCCAGCTCCCATTTCTTTGCCTACAAGGTCACGTAAGGCTGAAAATGATCTTCCTTTGAGCCATCCCAACTCTTGCATCGCATTCCCAGCTTTGAAATGTCCGACATTTCTAGCTAGTGCTGAAAAAAGATGCGACCCAAGGAGATTGCCAAGCTCTTTGTCTGAGAATGTCAAATATGTTGCATCTCTAAGCTACCTGACCTGGGCTTTGGGGAATCACAATCCCAGCCTGCATTTTGCCCAAAGATGAAATTACGTACATTTGTCTTCAACAGCCGGGCTTTATACTTCTAAAATGGGGGAGCAAAAATTGCTTCTGGCTTTTGCCAGCAAATCTTCCCAAAGTTCCTAATACAGGCTATTATTATTCTGAAGCCTGACAGGATCAAATTGGCATATCTGCTGACTATTCCCACACTCCAGCTAAGAGTTGTGATTTACACAGTGTTCAGGAATTTAAAGTATTCTAGCTTCTCTCCCTCTCTGCAATTTCCCTAATGCTGGTAAAACCTTGTCTCTCACTGCATCAGGTGATTTTACTGCCTCAACGTGGATTTTGAATCGTTCCAGTCTTGTCCCCGTAGCTAG